GTTTCAAGAGTGACAATAAAATGCACCAACAGCGACCTGAGTGGCAGGTGAAAGGACAGAACATTCCCCAGTACCTTCGAATCCCTTGGGTTCCCTCTGTGTGGCATCCCACCCCTCACCTTTGTACCACTGTCCGGACCTTTGTCTTGATCATTCTCTTGCCTTTCTCTATAGTTTAGCCCCCAATATAGCTCTTCCCACCTAAGCAACATATTGTTAATGAACACAGAGCAGCCAGCTCACACCTCGCTGTGTGAGGAGAGGGCCATTTGCACCATTGAGCGAAAGCTCCTAGGACAGGCGCAGCTGAACAAAGCCTAAAGCCTGCCTCAGCCTCTCTGAGAGTTTCCCAGAGGCCCTTTGGAGAAATCATCCGGTGAGGTCATGAGTGGACCTTGAAAACTCAGGGCCACCACAGAGAGGGGATTTGGCTGGGCTGCTGTGTGGACCAAGGTGGATTTCCAGCAGCGATGTGATCAGAGGATGGCTGCTCACTGTGGCTGACCCCCAGCTGCCAGGAGCAGGTCTGAGTGGAACAGTGGGGGAGTGAAATGAGGGTCCTCAGCTGAACCTCTCCTGGAGGAGAGAATGGGAACTTCATCAGCACATGGTCATGGCCAGCCAAGTTCAGACAAGCAGCTGAGCTTGGGCCAGACTCCCCAGGCACCATTCTGTCCTCAGGTGAAACAGATGGTGTAAGGCAGTGAGCATCTTGGTGATGGCAGCCTTCACCATGCCTGCGTCTAGTAGGCACCCCTTGTCCTCTGCATCAAGTGCTCATTTCCCTTCCTCCTTCCCCATCCCCATCATACTGGGCTACAACTCTTAGACTGCCTTACTCCTACCTGAGAACACCTGTCACCTGATTTCCTGCCTCCCTCCTTCTGGATTTTCTCTCTTGCTGTGGTACAGCACATCCTCTAATCGCTTCTGGAGAACGGATGTACCCCAGGTAAGTATTCTGGGACTTCACGTGCCTGAAAATATTTTTTTCCCTCCCCAATTGATTGAGAGTTTGCTGGGCTTAGAAGCCTAGATTGGAAATAGTTTTTCTTGCAAAATTGCTTTGATGTCTTCTTGCTTAAGGTTGCTGTTGAGCAGTCAGAAACCATTCTGATTCCAATCCGTGTTGACTTGTTCTATTTTTCCTCCCTGAAGCTTCTCAAATCTTAACCCCCAGTGTTCCGAAATGTCACAATAGTACGCCTTGGTGTGGGTCCATTTTTATCTATTTTTTCTGGGCACAAATAGGCCTTTTCAGTCTGGAAATGTACATCCTTTAGTCTTGTGTACTTTTATTAAATTGTTTCTGTATTGATCCCTTCCTTTTGTTTATTGCTGATCTCTTTCTGAAACTCAGAAAGAGTGACTTGGATGTTGGACTTCCTGTTCCGGTTCCTCTGATTTTCCGTCTATTTGCTTTTTCTTCTCCTTTCCTCAATTTTTTTTTTCCTGTTGAGTTTTTCATTGCTGCTATGATGTTTTTCACTTTTAAAAGCTTCTAAAAATAATCTTAATGCTTTTTAAAAAAAGCAATCTCTTCCTATTTGATGGATACAGTAGCTCTTCTCATATCTCTGAAGATGTTAAATGAATACTATTAACATTAGTAATAGTCCTCCCCTCACACACATAGTGCCTGTTCCCAGGTTGTTTTCTTTTTCATGTGTTGATTTTTTAAACTTGAGATATAATTGACACATAACATTATATTAGTTTTAGGAGTGCAACATGATGATTTCATATATATGTATATATTGTGAAATGTTCACCAAAATCAGTCTAGTTAATATCCGTCACCACACAGAATTACAAATCTTTTTTCTTGTGATGAGAACTTTCAAGATCTACTTTCTTAGCAGCTGTCAAATACACAATACAGTATTATTAACTATAGTCATCATGCTGTACATTACATCCTCATGAGTTATTTATTTTATAACCAGAAATGTGTGCCTTTGACCACTTTCACCCATTTCACCCCCCTCCCCACTCCCTGTCTCTGGCAACCACCAATTTGTTCTCTATATTTGTGAGTCTGTGTTTTTTGTTTGTTTGCTTTTTAGATTCCACAAATATTATAAATGAGACCATACAGTATTTGTCTTTCTCTGTCACAAGTATCAGGATTACCTTGTTTTTTTTTTATGGCTGAAACATATATCTATACTTATATCTATATATCTATATCTATATATCATATTTTCTTTATTAATTTATCCACCCATGGACACTTAGGTTGTTTCTATGGCTTGTCTATTGTAAATAATGCTGCAACAAACATGGGGGTTCAGATATCTTTTTGGGCTAGTGTCTTTGTTTCCTTCAGAAAAATACCCAGAAGTGGAATTGCTGGATCATATGATAGTTCTGTGTTTAATTTTTTGAGGAATCTCCGTACTGTTTTCCATTTTGGCCGCCAAATTTACATTCTCACCAATAGTGAACAAGGGTACCCGTTTCTCCACATCCTCGCCAACACTTATATTTTTTATCTTTTTGATCCTAGCCATTCTAACAGGTGTGAGGTATTTTGATTTGAATTTCTCTGATAATTAGTGATGTTGAGCATCTTTTCATGTACCTGTTGGTCATTTGTATGCTTTCTTTAGAAAAATGTCTATTCAGATCCTCTGATTATTTTTAAATCAGATTGTTTGTGGGGTTTTTTTGGGGGGGGGCTATCGAGTTGTACAAGTTATTTATGTTTTTGGGATATTATCCCCTTACCAGATATATGATTTGCAAATATTTTCTTCTATTAGGTAAGTTGCTTTTTCATTTAGTTGATGGCTTCCTTTGCTGTGCCCAGGTTTTCTTTTTTCTCTTTCTGTTTGTTTATTTGTTTGTGTCAAGGGCTTTAGGTCTTTCCTCATTGGCTTCTTAGATTCGAAGTTTTCTAAAATCTCCCACCTGGGGGTAAAGGTCTGACTGGGTGACTCTTAGGGTCCAGTGGGGAGGGAGAGCCTGGGGCCTTAGTGTTCAGCATACTGTGCGGCAGAACCATTTCTCTCTCTTCTGGAGCGCACACCCTCACCTGTGCCGGCTGGCCTCTGGTCCAGAGATCCTCAGTTTCCTCCTTGCCAGAGAAGATACTTGGGCTCAGTCAGGTGGGGGAGTGCAGCTGCCTAGAGTTGCAGGAAGAGGGAGGAGACCACGGAGCTGCCCCGCCTCTTAGCCAGCTTTCCCCTTATCCCCTCAGTTCAGGCCCCCCTGCACCCTCAATCCCAGGGTTTCCAGGGGCCTATGTCTTGGGAATTTTGTAGCATAGATTGGGGCAGTTCTTAGCTTTCCCCACCTCTGGCATCAGCTCTTCCTGGGCTCCATTAAGTCAGTCCCTTCTCACCCATCTGCTTTCCAGCTTCCACAGTTTGGTTGCTGTGGTCCCTGCCCACGTTTTCCCGTTCTTTTGGTTTCTCTCTCTCCCTTTCCCACGTTAATCTCTTTACTGTAATGTGTATGGGATTTCAGGAGGGAGCAATGTTGGATGCGTGTATTTAACTTGACATATTAATCTGGAAGCTCCAATCGGCTTTTTATTATAACCCTCTTAAATATGAGCAGACAGCCAGAGACTGGCAAATAATTGAGGAAAGCCTTAGTATGTGTAAGAGAGCAAAATGAGTCAAACAAAAGCAGAAGAACAGGTGCAAGGGAACTAAAGACAATGCAGGAAATAGAAAAAAAGTTCAAAAGAAAATACTATCCCTAACATATTCATGGGAGGATCAGTATATATGGGTTTATTTTTGAAATGGATAACTAGATAACTTTAGGGACAAGTAGTTTTTTAAAATCCTAAAAACACACAAAGATGCACATACAAGAGTGTTTATCACAACATGGTTTCTAACAGCAGAAAATTTATACAACCTAAATGTTTAAAAATAAAGCAGTAATTTAATAAATTGTAGTATATAACTGCAGTGGAATACCATGCAGCCATTACAAATGATGTGGTAGAAATGTATTAATGCACATGGAAAAACCACTCACAGCATATCATCAAAAGGTGAGAGCACAGAATCAAACTATTTACAGTAAAATCTCATTTTGGAAGAAATATGTATATGTGCACAGAAAAATTACTATTCTAGTTAAAAGACGAAGACTGTCATACTAGATTTAAAACCTTTATGCACAGATAAAAAGCATGTATCAAAAATATTAGCAGTGATTACCTGGAGGTAGTGGCATTACAGGTGAGCATTACTTTCTTCTTTGTACTTTTCTGTATTTTGTCAATTATTTTTCAAAACGCATGCATTACTTCATAATCAGGATTCAGTGGGGTTTTTTTTTTGGTTTTGTTTCAAATGTTTATTTCATTTGATTTAATAATTCTTTTCCTAGGAAAATATCCTAGAGAAATAATCATAGAAATCAGAAAAATTATCTAAAAGGATTTTTTTTATCATAGTGTTATTTACAATTGTGAAAAGTTGGAAATGAGCTAATAACTGAGTCTGAGATTAGTTAGATCATATTACACATATATGTTGGAATACTTGGCCATTAAAACAATTCATGTAGGGATTTAAAACATTTTTTTTTTATAAATAGCGTGTGTAGATATAGGCAGTATGAGCTCAGTGTTGTTTAAAATAACTAGGGATAGATTTTGGTATATTTAGGAAAAAGACTTGAAGAAAGCACATCAGAGTATTATGAGTGGTTGTCTGGGGTGATGGGATTCCCCTACCTGAGGGTGATTTCTGGGAGGGTTGAGATGAGGTCTGTTACCCACCTTTCTATTTCCAGAATCTGGTGGCTGCTCAGAAATTATATGCCGAGCGAGTGAATGTAGTATAGGTGGTTTTAATTTTCTTTTTTATACTTTCCTGCATGTTCCAACATTTCTACAATAAACATATTTACTTGTATCATCACAATAAGTTAAAATTTTTTAATGAGGGCAAGTATAAAGAAAGGGAAAACGGCATGGGAAGTCGTATAGAAAAACACACCCTTTCCTGAATTAACTCCATTCTCTTTTTCAGAGTGGTGGCAATGAGTGAAGTGAGCTGACTCCTTCTGAACACCTCAACCCCACCTCCCCAAACTGGCCAAGGTTTGGGCTTCCAGACCGCCTAAGGTATACAACACCGGCACCTGATCTGATTTCCCAAAGAGAGCAGGCCTGGGTCGGAGGGGGAGTGTGGCAGTTCTATTCAGGTTCTCCAGCCCAGCCAGGAGTCTCTGGGCCAGGCTTGGAGTGTTTCACGTGTCATTGAGTTTGGTCTTGCAAATGTTTAGTCCACTATGAGCATCATAATTATTTCCTTGGGTGAAGATTCTTTGCCAGCACTGGGAGGTGATGGCAGAGAGGGGTGGGGTGGAGAAGATAGACTTATGGAGAGAGGGTCTCATGGAAAAAGGGGATGACAGAGAGAGGTACAGGAGTGAGAGAGAGGGTCACCAAAAAGATTCTCTTTTGTTATAATAATAGCAATAGTTAGTGCTTTGGGTCTTTACAATGTGCCAGGCACCGTGTTAAGTGATTTTCACACATTATCTGCTTTAATCTACATTAATCTACATAATCCATACGAGGTAGGATCCATATCATCATCCCCATTTTACAGTTGAGAAAACTAAGGCTTAGATAAGTGAGGGAGGCCACGGAAGATCACCCACGAGCTAAAATGCAAAGCTCTGAGTTGAAAAACACTTAAAGCCCTGTTCTTGGCGTTCCTGGTACCATATTGTAAAGAAACATTGCCGGGACAGCTGTGAAATGGGGGTTCCAGTGAAAACTCTCAGTCTTCAGGGCCGGGGTTAAGTTTCCCCCGACAGCTTCTGCTGTCTGGGGCCCTTGGAGACACAGCTCGCCGGAGGCCCCAGGCGCCACCAGGGGGCAGCAGAGTCCTGTGCTGGTGAGGCTGCTCTGTCCCCAGCTGACTGCAAGTTCCCCCAGCTGTCCTGAGTCAAAACCTGAACCGCTGGTGGCCAAGAATAGCAAGGGGCTGTAATTCACGTGGGTACTCCTTCCCAGGGTTTCGAAAGCCCCTCACGTCATCCCGATTATTTCACAACCCCGCTCACAGAGCACTTTTTCCATCTTCCTTCAACAGGTCCTATCTTGGCTGGTGAGAAGGGCTCCAGGACACACAGCTCCTGAAGATGGCATGTTAGATGCTGGGCTGGGCACTGGGATGAAAACAAAACACAAAACAGGTCTTGTCCCCAAGGGAGCCTGTTATGTAAACAAATAACCAAGGTACACTGTGTAAAGTGCAATAATAGATGTACGTGTGAGATTTGGTGGCAGCACAAAGTGGGAGAAAGAGGGGCAGAATTATAATTTAGGGCTTTAGCTCAGAGGTGGCCCAAGGGCGTGTCTGCCAGCAGGAGTCATCTTTCCTGTGAGCTGAAGCAGAGAAAGAAGCTGGGAATTCTAGTCTAGAAGGACGTTAGGTTCCAGGATGAAAAATATCAATGCTAAGAAAATGTCAAATGTTCTAGAAATCATAAAGTTTACACCTCTAAGTCCTGTGTTGGGGTGTGGGTTTGGATAGTTTCAACCTGGGCTTAGGAAGGTGGTGAGAGAGGGTGGAAGAGGGTGTTTAGGAGGTTGTTATGGTCAGTGGGCTCCAAGACCCAGGAAAGCTAGCGGGAAAGAGACCCAGCCTTGTCTACTATCTCTGGGCTAGGCCCACAGCAGCCATGCTGCCTCATCTCCAAGGAGGACAGGAAGGCTTGGACCAGCCCAGATGCTCCTCTCTCTAAACCCCTCAAGTTTATCTAAGCCAGCGCTGGGATTATCCCAGTGGGATTCCAGGTCTCCACCCAGGCCACTTCCTCCTGCCAAAGTCTGCAATGAGCCTGGCTGGGCAAGTGAGTCTTTGGCAACTTGCACTCATTCTTCGCGGATAAACTGTGTGGTCTCTGAAACTCTGTCTTCTCCCAAGATTAGCCCAGAAAGTTTTGGTAGGGGAAGTGGGGGCACTGTGGACACTGGCACAGCTCTATTTGCCCCCTGTAGCCCAGTAGCCTTCAGTCATGCCCACCCCATGGCACTGTGGACACAGGTGTGCTTTCCCGTGGTCACAGAATGCTGGTGTCACATGGGACACCCCTGCTTTGCCAATCTTTAATTTTATGCCCAGGCAACTTCCCTCTGTGCAGGCTAATCCCAGATGGTGGTTTTAGACAGCTGTCCTCAGCCCAGCCAAGGGCAAGGGAGAGGGAAGGGCACCCAGGCCTGGGTGTTCGGTATGCAGTGGCCCCACCACAAGCAAAACTTTATGCCTTTTCTTAAAAGCTCACATGGATTTGCCTTCTACTTTTTAATGTGTCCTGGCAAGTTCTAGCATAAAAACAATGTTTTAAATGACTTACAGTTCCATTTAAAGTGCGTTCAATGGCTGGTTTATTTTCTCAGTTTTAAGGTGCTGTTAATTGCAAGAAGCACCATGGATTTAAAGATGTCATCTCATTTGTTTCTTGCAACAACACTGGGAATATTATTACCGTAGACATTCTCATTGGACCAAGGAAGAAATTGAAGCTCTGACTGATTAAGCGCCTTGTCTGGCACCGTGTAGCTAGTGAGTGGCAGAACGAACCTTTCATCAGTGGCACTCAGTCCCCAGGCCTCCCTTTTCTTTGTGTGACTTCTGTGCTGTGAGAAACACTAGGGAAGCTTTGGTTTTGTTTGTTCCAGCAAAATAAGATTTTTAAAAAATCTTTTCCCCACCCTGAGGGGCAATCCCCAAATAATTCCAAGACTTTGAAGAGAGAGAGACCTCTGGGATGTCTGTGGGTCTATGACAAAGATCCATTTAAATGCATTCAAAGTAACTATTTGTTTGAGCCCCAGCTGTATGCTCTGCAAGGGGCAAACAAGTCACCAAAGTGGGCTCCTCCAGCGGGTCCTCATGCCAGTGTGTCAACCCCCGAAGGGCAAGCCCTGGTGACCACATGTCTATAAAAGACCAAGTCACCCCTGAGCTCTGCCAGACTGCCTCAGCCTGCCCTTGAGGCATCCTTTGCCAGTGGGGAGATGGGTGGTTAGGCTGTGACCCCATCTGCTAACACAGCAGTGTGAGCTCAGTTTGGTTAAAGAGCTGCCAGAGCTCAGACAAGGTCTCTCATGAATCTGTTAGTGGAGGAGGGGCAGAGGGTGGGGTCAGTGAGGGCGGGGGAGATAGGGAGATATATCACTGAGGAGGTGACATTTGAGCTGCCCCCTGAAGGATGAAAGAAATTCACAAGTGGATGGAGGACATTCTTAGCAAGGGAAGAGCATGAGCAAAGCTCAAAGCTTGGGACTACGTAGCACTTAGATGGTATGGGTAGGAAAGTACATGTGTGCATGAGGGGGGGGTGGCGCCTCTTATTTGTGTTCTTCTATCTTTCCTCAGTCCCTGGCTCCCCTCTTGAGACCCTAAACTCTTTGGGCCTTTCCCTACTCCCCTCCGGGCTCAGAGCATCTACACTTCAACCCCACAAGTGTTTCCCTGTTCCCTCAGCAGTGCCTTGCCCTGACTTGGTTCTTTCTAAGCCTGCCCTAGGCTTGGCTTCCAGAAGGACACTTGATCCCATCTCATGGCTGGCAGTGGGGCATGGCGCTTGGAGCAGCTGCAAGGATGGTGTTGACTCCAGATGGAAAGTGTTTCGAGAATTCTGATGTGACATCACCTCATCACGACATTGCAGTAACTGATCTGGGAGTGGCCAGGTGAAATCATTCCCAACCTTGTCAAGGGCTGGCTTAGATCCAGGAGCTTGGCTTGGTGGGTGGGAATCTAGAACCAAGGGAGAGGCCTTCTGGGTGTTCAGACCATTGCTGAGAGCAGCCTGGAGGCAAACGGATGCCCTTCATTAATCCCCTGTGACTGGAGCCCAGTGGAGCCCTGCACTCATGTCACTGGCTGTGGGCAAAGCTCAGTTTAGCTCCTTAGGGCTTTCCTACCACACTACCCTTCCCACAACAAGGCCATCTTCTCACAGGCCAGGCCCCCAATCCCAAAGGTTAGCTAAATCTCGGCATGTGGCCTCTTGCAACTCAGCCCTCCCAGCCCCGCTAAGCCCTACTCAGCCAGTGAAGAGCTGGGGCTGCCCTAGCAGCATACCAAAGGATGAAAGGGGAGCGCCTTGTCACAGCTGACATCCGCACCCTGGGCCCAGACCCAGGACTTGTCTTTAAGGCACCATCTGTTGCCTGCAAGGGCTGATTAGGGACAGAAGGCTGGCACTGGGGCTCAGAGGGCAGAGCTGGGAGGGGGAAGTCACAAGAGGCTATGTAGTGGTTTTGAGGTCCCTCTGGTGAGAGAACACCCTTATTGCCCCCTCCTCCTCTGCCACTATCACCTTGTTCTGCAGAGTTTGGACCTGGGCTGAAGAAGAAAAGAGTTAGAAGTGGTCAGCCCCCAGCTCAGGTTGGCCTGGGCTTTCCTGACTGACATCTAAGAGCACTCTCTTCTGGGGAAGCCAGAGGGCACAGCCAGATGGTTTCCAGCCTAGGTGAGCATCCAGTTCCAGACATCACAGGGTCACCATAGAATCATGAGATAGGAGTCGGGCACTGGGCATCAGGCCACAGGATAGGCTGCCTGGGGTTGGCGCCCTGGCTGGCCTTCTGCCCCTTCCTGGGAGCAGGCTATCCTCAGAACACAGAGCTGGACATGGCCAGAGACTCCTCTGGGTGGAAACAAACCCCCACTGGTCAGGGCTCTCTGGACAGTTACACATTCACAGGGACTAGGGTGCAGGAAGGCTGTGGGTACCTTCTGCTCTCTACTCCTGCTATCTGCTACTTTGGTAGGTGCCAGTGAGTTGGGGAGAAGAGAAAGGGGAAGATGAGTGGATTTGAAGATCAGGGAAAAGGAAGAGAGAAACATGGGAGGGGAGAAGAGAAAAAAAAGGAGGACAAGGACCGGCTGAGTGGTGCAGTTGGTTAGAGCACGAGCTCTGAGCAACAGGGTCAACAGTTTGATTCCCAAATAAGCCAGTGAGCTGTGCCTGAACTGAGCGGCCGCTGAGCTGCCAACGGGTGGCTGGATGGTTCAGCTGGTGAGAGCACATGCTCTTAACAACAAGGTTGCTGGTTCGACTCCCACATGGGATGGTGGGTTGCACCCTCTCGCAACTAGATTGAAAGCAGCGACTGAATTTGGAGCTGAGTTTGCGCCCTCCACAACGAAGATTGGACAACAACTTGACTTGGAGCTGATGGGTCCTGGAAAAACACACTGTTCCCCTTCCCCAATTCCCCAACACTGTTCCCCTCCCGAATTCCCCAATAAAAAAAATCTAAAAAAAAGAAAGAAAGAAATGGAGGAGAAGTGAGAGGAAGTGTTGGGCTACAGGTAACAGAGACCCCATAGTAAGAGTGGCTTGAACAAGATGACAGTTTCTCTTACATACAGCTCTAGGTGGGTGGTCCAGGGCTAGTGTGGAGACCCAGGCTTCTCTTCCCACCATTCCTAACAATCCCAAGCCGCAGCATGGAAAAAGGGGTGGGGGAAGGGCACACCCCTCACCTTAGGGATGAGAGTGGGAGTTGCACACATCACTTCCCCTGTCATCTCACCACCCAGAATATAGTCACAAGAACTACATCTAGCTACAAGGGAGGCTAGGAAGTGAAGTCTTTGTTCTGAGCATCCATGTGTCCTGAGTACAATGAGAAAGGAGGAGACAATGGATATTGGGGCAGAGGAACATGAAGAGGAAGAAAAGCTCTCAGAAGAAGGAGGGAGGAAACAGGAAGGGAAGGAGGGAAAGATTCTGTGGAGCAGCGTGCACCCACAGTCAGATATGATGTCCTAGCACACCTGGTCCCACCAGGGTGACCAGGTCTGGGGCTTTGTCAGGGGCAAGTGCTCTTTCCCTCCCCAGAGATTGATTAACCTGCTACTGGGCCCAGACCTGAAGTGGGCTGTGGAGAAAGGTCTGCGTCTAACAAAAGGCAAGAAGACAAGGTACAGGGTTTTACTTTCCTACTTAGCCAAGAAGAGACTTCAGCGTGTACCTGGTGGTGTGAAGAAGGTTGTGATAGCTCATACTGAGTCATATTCTTTCAGATGTAAGGAAGGAACTCGTCCAGTTTTCTTCGAGAACTGTGAAGGTACATAAAACATAGGGCCATTTCATACATCAATTAGGTCGCTTCGTGGCACAAGCAACAGAAAACCCAACCACAATGTTCAAGAAGAGTCTTTATTTATTTTCCCTCCAAACAAGAAGTCCAGAGAAGGGCAGTTTCAGGATCAATTAATTCAATAAATCCAAGATGCCTGGGCTCTGGTTCCGTTTCCCAGAAATTCTCATAACTATTCCTTTTGGTTGTAAGATGATAGGTGGACCTCCAAGCATTGTGTCCTCCTAAAGTTGCTTAAGGAAAGGAAGTCTTCTTCTCACCAGTGTCATTTATCTGGGAGGAAAATATTTCCCAGAACCTCTGCATCAGAATTCCCCTTCTCTTGGCTAGACTGGGTTATATCTCTATCCCTCAATCAACCACTGGCAAAGCAGAATGGGATCACCCTCTCCCATGGGATGGTTGGTTAGGCCAATGATGATTCATCATCTGGGGACCACCTTCTCTGAGCACATTGCAGCTGGATCCTGAACAAAGACAAATTCTGTTTTCAGAGAAATAGGGAGCCACAGCTGTTGATTAGGCCTAGGGCAGACATTAATAATCAATTATAGCTCTCTTTCTCATGGGGTCTTTACCAATCAAACAACGTTGGCACAGGAGATAAAACATATGTCATCTCAGCCTTAGATAATGGGAAATAAGGAAGTGATAAATCAGGGCATCTTTAGTGATCCAGTCATCTTGTCATTGCTTCATATGCTGCCTTTAAATAAATCTACAAATTCTTTGACAGTCCTTCCTTCAAAGCGTAGCAGCTAATTCTTCTCTCTTTGAATGTGGTCTGGACTTACTAATTCATTTCTAGTGAATAGAAAATGGCAGAATCATGGTATGTGAATTTTGAGACTAGGTTATAAAAGGCAGTGTAGATTTTGCCTTGCTCTCTCTTGGATCACTTGCTCTAGGGGAGGCCAGCCACCATGCCGTGAGGATGCTTCAGCAGCCCTATAAAGAGGTCCATGTGGGGAGGAACTGAGACCTCCTGCCAATTGCCATGTGAGGGAGCCATTTTGGAAGTCGATCTTTCAACCCCAGTCAAATCTTCAGTTGACTGCAGTCCTAGCCAACACCTTGACTGCCACCTTATGAAAGACCCCAAGCCAGAACCCTCCAG